TATGCCCTCCATGTGGACCATTCTGTTTGCTCCAGGAGTGGAACTTCCGGAGAATGCCGTTCTCCCGGGCTGTCTTTGTGCTGGGCACTGGAATTGAGCACCTGAACTTCGCCATGGAGCTCTTTGAATGGCAGGTGAGAAGGGGAAAAGTGGCCCTGTTTGAGCACCCAAAGAGCTGTAGGTCGTGGCAGGAGCCATCAGTGCAACGATGCATGTCCTTGCCGGGAGTCCAACGCGTCTGTGGAGATCAGTGCGAGTTTGGACTGCGCGTGAGAGAAGGGGAAGATCTCAACAAGCAACCAACCGGCTTTATGACCAATGGGAAACATCTTCAACGAGCCCTACATCGACCTTGCAGAGGACTGCATCGGCATCAACCCTTGTTGCACGGACGGGCCAAACAGGCAGAAAGATATCGAATCCTCCAGAACTATGCAAGGCAATTGTCAAGGCGGCGGAGAAGGACAAGATCACACAAATGGTGTGTCTGGGCATGGAGGACTTCAACGAGAGCTGGGCAGAAGGAGATGATGGAGGAATTGACCCAGAAGAACTAATCGACCAAGCTCAAGAACGAGAAGCTGAACAAGATCGGATTCTTGAACTGCAGCCAGCTGGAGCTGACGACGAAGAAGAGGAAGATCAAGAAGATCCAGTGATTCCTTCCGGAGTCACGAGGAAAGAGAAAGGACTGCTCCAGAGGCTCCACGTCAACCTGGGACATCCCAGTAAAGAGGACTTCTACCGGGCTTTGAAGATGTCGAGAGCCAGGCCAGAGGTGCTCAAGTATGTGAAGAAGGAGTTCGCTTGCGACCATTGCACTCAGCATCAAAACCCAAAGAGTGCTCGACCATCAACGATTCCGAAGGGCTACACCCCTAACCGGGTTGTGGGCATTGACACTGTCTTCTTCCCAGGCATCAACCCTCGAGATCAAAAGCCAGTGCTGAACATCATCGACTGGGGAACATGTTACCAAATGCTGGAACCAGTGCCCGACATGCAATCCAGCAGCATATGGAACTCCTTTGTGAAAAGCTGGCTACGAACCTTCGGCATGCCCGAGATGATTGTCATGGACCAGGGAAGGGAGTTCATTGGAGTCTTTTCCCAACGAGCTGCAGAATACGGGGCTTTGGTGAGAACTATCGGAGCCCGGGCTCCGTGGCAAAACGGACGAACTGAACGTCACGGAGGACTTGCAAAGGGGACCTTCATCAAAGCCGGCAACCAGGTGGGTTTGACCACACAAGCTGAGTGGGATGAATGTCTCCGCAGTGTAGAAGCGGCCAAGAACAGACTCTTCCATCCTTCAGGATTCTCACCAGCCCAACGACAACTTGGACAGAACCTTCGATTGCCTGGAAGCTTGGCAAGTGATGATCCATTTGAGGTGGGCCTCATTCAGGGAAGTGCTGGCCGAACCCTGGAGATTCGGCAAGCCGCACTGGAATCCTTCCTGAGGTATTCAACAGAAGCCAGCGCGAAGAAGGCGGCGTACGGCCGCTCAAGGGGCTCAAGACATTTCAACGCCGGCAAGATAGTGTATGTGTTCAGGAAGCCGTGGCAAGACGCGGGGCAGCGCCTACCAGCAATCGAGCTTGCTGGTGCAGCCCTGGGACTTTGATCATGCTGGAAGGCAGGAATGTCTGGGTTTCGATGAAGGGCGAACTTTGGAAGTGCGCTCAAGAGCAACTGCGAAGAGCCACCTCGGAGGAAGAGGACGCCATGAACCTCCTCAAGGAAGAGTTCTAGGACCTCCGCGAGCAGTTGAGAAGAGCAGAGTCCAAGAGAGGCTTCAAGGACATCAGCCACTAGGGACGGCCGGATGATGATGAAGAAGAGGAAAGCCTGGACCCCCAGAGTCAAAGGCGCCGCATCGAGGAGGATGAGCCGGAGCCATCACAAGGAGCGACAGACTCACAGGACTCCAATGCAGGGAGCCAGAGGAAGAGATGCCAGGAGGAAATTCTGGACTTCCATCAGTGGCCATTGATCCTGAGGTGATGCTAGAGGCAACTGAATCGGTCATCCGGAACGAGCAGCTGGGTGGAACAATACCGTCTTCAAGACGCTCCGGACACTATGAACCAATTTCGAGCCCGACTACAAGCATCAGGTGGAAGCCCTATGAGGAGGAGCTCTGTGGAAGAGGTCTACTTGGAGCATCACCTGACGAGTGGCGACCAGTGGAGGATGGATGCCAAAAGAAAGAAGTTGATTCGAGTTCACGGTGATCCACGGTGGCAATTGTTTCATCCCGCAGACGGAGAATGCCCACTACAACTCAGACACCTTACTTCCCACAGGCGAACCATTCAAATTGATGAAGATGGACAGAGGACTGTGCGGAGAGGAGACTGGAGAAAGAAGAACTCATCGTTAGAAGAGTGTGGACTTTCTCACATGTGGACGGAGCTGTGGTCGCATTGTCCCCAGAAGAATCCAACTCCGTGGAGAAACAACTTCAAGAAAGCGGTAAGATGAATCGAATCTTACCGTCAAGAATGGTGCGACGCTGGAAGCCATCTGAACAGCCAGGAGTACCTCCAAGCCGCAAAAGCCGGTGGTGCATCAGAGGAGATCGAGATCCTGATTTGTTGACCTTGAGCCGCTATGCCCCCACGGAGACTACTGCAGTGGTCAACATCGCATTGCAGCTGGCAGCAAACTGAGGCTTCAAGACCTATGTAGCGGACCTCCGGAATGCCTTCATGCAGTCGGACCGACTTGTGAGAAATGAGGGAAGGCTCTTTTGTCGGCAACCTAAAGGTGGACTACCAGGCCTGGAGCCCAATCAACTCATCGAGATCTTGGCCGGAGCCTATGGTCCAGGAGACGCCCCGGCACATTGGAGGAGAAGTTTGAGGAATGTGCTGTTGGAGCTTGTGCCTGGGGAATGAGAACCATGATCGGGCGTTAGAGCGCTTGCGAGAAAGGTTACATTTTGGAAAATTTGCCAACTTGAGCGAACAGCCCGAAGGAGCCTCCTTCAACGGCAGACGACTCAGAAGCACTAAGAACGGCTTCGAGATCGACATGACCAAGTTCGTTCGAGAACGGCTACAACCAGTTCCCTTTAAGCTAGATGGACGGCGGAAAGAACTCCGCAGGAGAAGTCGGACGCCAGAGCCTCAATTGGAGCTTTGACTTGGGCTGCAAAGGAAGGTCGCCCAGACTGTGCGGCGAGTGCTTCTTTGATAGCCAGCTGTCTCAACAACCTGAAGGTTCAGGATGTGATAGACCTGAACAAGGCCATCAAGGAGGCAAAAGAACATGAAGATCTCACGGTGAAGATCCAGCCCATCAACGAAGAGGACATGTGTTTTGGCGTCGTCACCGATGCCTCATATGCCAACACCGAGACCTACTCCTCACAAGGCGGTTTCGGAGTCTTGTGCTACGACAAGCAGCTGGAGAAGAAGGGCATCGCACGCGGCAATCTCCTGTATTGGAGATCCGGGAAAATCCACTGGATCGTCAACTCCACCTTGGCTGCAGAAACTCAGAGCCTTGCAAAGGGCTTGCAGGAGTTAGCCTGGAGCATCACGGTCTACAACGAGTTGGGGGACCCCAGCTTCGAACTTCGAGAGTGGGAAGCGGCCGCCAAGAAGCGACGGCTGAAGGCCATAGCCAAAGAGGACATTGACGAGACCCTCAAGAAAGGACTATGTCTGGTCGATGCCAAGAGCTTGTACGACCACTTGGTCAAGTCCACCGTGGGCAGCACCGATGACCGCCGAACGGCGATTGAAATGCAGCTGATAAGGCAAAGCGTGCAGGAGACAGGGACGGCCATTCGCTGGATCAATCACGAGAAGATGCTGGTCGACTCTCTCCCGAAGAGGCGCGGGAACAAAGAGCCTCTGTACAGGTTTCTGGCTACGGGCATTTTGAATTTCTCCCATTGCGACCATCAAGAAATGTTGGGAGCTGTGAATACTTTGAGCGCTTGGTCGCATGGTCGACTTCGGTGAGCTCCGCGCCTACCGCGGACGTCATTTTGTTCGAACACTTCAGCCCGAGGGGCTGACCGACTCGCGTGAAAAGAGCGCGAGGGCTTTCATGTGCTACCCACATCATCCAAGGAGTTTCTGGTGTTACACTGGATGGAAGAGATATCCAACTAGTGTGGAAAAGTGCAGTCGAGATTTAACACTTGTCAACGTTCAGAAAAGAATTGTGTGGTTTCCCCTTTAGGGTGGTTTGTTGAAGCGTTGCTCTTTTTTCTACTCAGCGTCGTGCATCTTCAGGTGCAGTGTAGAGTTTCAGGTGGACACTTTTTCGTCGCTATTTTGGAGTGGCGCTTGCACAAAGAGACCTCCAGACCTTCACATTGGCGACAAATTGAACCAAACTTTTAGGAGAGCCTCGCAGTCTTCAGAGACTGAATGTTTAGCAGTGAGTTCAATCAGAGTTTGGACAGGTGAAGCCACCAAACAAAGCACAAGAGACCATTGACGGTGTGAGCGTGTCCGCCCCAGTACGAAGGGGTGCGCCCACAGGTGCACATAAACCAATGTACATCTACCTATCATAAATATGTATATATATATGATGTATTTTTAACTATGCAAAGTCCGCTTTCTTGGAAACCATTGAAGGAAAATATCCACAAATCCTATGAGATGGTTCACCAAGAGTTTTGGTAGCCTGGTCATTTGACTGGATGTTGACTTGTTGGTTTTGGGCTGGCGGTTGATGCACTGGAAGATGGGCAACGGTCACTCTGACTGTATCTCTTCCAGTTCGACTTCGAACCGGAGTTTTAAATTTACAACGCGCAAGAATGCGTATATACACAAGAAAGCGCAAAAGCTGCGTGTTCCCTGCTCCAAGATTTGTGGATAGTTGGAAGATGCGGCAAAATTCAACTGATGTACCTAATTGCGCTGCGTGCTCACAGCTACAGCCCACAGCAATGACTTATGACCCAGTATGACACACTCACATACTGGCCAAACAACTTGAAGATCTTGAAGCAAAACAAATAATCACGCCTGAGTGTCCAAACAGTACAACTCATCGACTCTGCCTCAGGCAGAGCTGCGCCACAGATCTTCAAACAATTTCAAGGAATTGTTGGTTTGCTGAGCTCGCTGCTGCCATCGGTACCACCAAAGATCCATATCTTTCCACTGCTATCCATCACCGCTGCGAATCGCTCTCGACCAGTGGGACTGGTCCCACTTATGGACGGGGTCGTCCAAGTTGGTGTAGCTGCCTGGCACAACTTAGAGCAATGCAAATCAGAATCACACAAGCAAAGCAAAGGCAAGCGCTTGGAATCAGGAAGCAAAACATTGCTTGATTCTGCCTGGGTGTCCAAGTAGTGCACATCATTCAAGTAGCCATCTAAGAGACATGCGAGGAACATTTTTTGGAATCAAGTCTTTTGCAAATCACAACTCGCTTCCAATGCTGAGCCTGCTGCTCCCAGGCCCCCAGCCACCAAATATCCACATCTTTCCATTGCCATCCATGACACTGACGTGCCTGTTTCGGGTTTCTGGGCTGTTGCCACTCACTGACGGAGTCGTCCATGTGGGAGTGCCGGCCTCCAAGTCTTCCAGTGTTTGGTCTGAACACTTGCCCCAACACAGCTGGATCTCCACCAAAGAAATCGGGGTTTGCAATGGAGACTTGTGTGAAAAATCACAACATGGGCGGATACAAAAACAATGTCTTTTGGCATGGGTGCTTGAAGATACGGTTTCTGCCTGGGTGTCTAAATAATGGACATCATTGAGATAGCCTCAGGCGGGGCCGCAGAAGTGCGTGAACCAAGACTGAGACTGAAGTGTTGCGGCCCGCAAAACATCTGCCACGACTACCGAAATCCCGCGTTGATCCCGCGTTGGTTCAGTTGAAGGTTCTAGACCCTGCACATGCGAGACCAACAAGCGACATGCAACGGGACATCTAGTAGACTTAGTAGACACACACACATGGAGAAACAATCCACCTGTCCCTCTTGTCACACCTCTGAGTCTGCTGCTACCGCTGTAGCCGCCAAATACCCACATTTTTCCATTGGCGTCCATCACGGCAGTGTGGCGTTTCCGGGCAGAAGGGCTGGTGCCAGTCACCGACGGAGTTATCCAGGTTGGTGTAGCGGCCTTCAATCAGTCAACCAATTGCATTTGATCGAAGAGGGGTCTTCAACCAGCGTTGCAAACACGCGCGCAACGAAGTGCTCGCCCAGTGACCCTTTTCATTTTCTCATACTGGTTTTGGTTTTGGGCATCGCGTCGGCGCCATCGCGCCGACATGAAAAGCCCTAAAACGCCTGATCGAAAGTTTTCCCCAATAATCTTCCCATTTCCCCTCAGCACTGTATCAAATGGCAAGCTTTGCGTGATCTTCTCTGTCTTCATTACACCGACGAAACCTCGTGGGGAAAATGCCGGCATTGTTTCAGGCATCTTGCCCTTCCCAAAATTGTGCGAGTCTTTCCGGACCCGCTGTGTGAGTTTATCTTCATTGACTAATTGGCCAGCAAGTTCACAACAAACCCATTGTCTTAAGCCCAGCGTTGCAAAGGGTCCTTTCGACACCCTGGCGCCGATGTCAACAAGAGGTCGAATGGTAGCTGGTAGAATACAAGTTTCTATAGCCTGTTTCACAAAGCATTCTGTGCTTGCGTCTACATGGCCGCGACAGAGAGATTTCGAAAGGCAGCGCCGGTTTGTCGTGGGGCATCACAGATGCGCTATCACTGACAAAGCCGCCTTTGTGAAGAGACAAGCGGGATCAGTGAACTTACGCGCAAGTGTCCTACCCAGCAGACCCCCAGTTTCTTAGATTGAACGGCTATGTTATTGACTGGTTACACGCCGCTCGAAAACATGAACCTCTGCGCGCAGTCTTCCCCACGGTGGAGTCCTTCACACGGGCGAGGGAAGGGACTCGCCTGCACGGGAAGCCTCTTGGCCGTCGCGACTGTCGATCCGTCAACTTTTGGGCTCACAGTGCTACAGTGCTGAGAGGCGTGATGAACTCTACCCCGCGAAGGGTGTGCCCAGATCCTTTTGTGGCTAGGCTCAACCTGTTTGCTTGCCAAGTTCTTGGAGGGATCAGTGCCGCCATCTCGACTGGCGGCAACACCTAGCTAGGTCTAGTCCCGGTCCACGATCTTTGGGGTCAGGCGAGAGGTCCCACGGTGTTGACGGGTACGTTCTCCTTTGGGGGTTCATCGTCGTTGTGGGGCCTCGTGTTGTCGCGCCGGGCAGCGCTGGGTGGGCTGCCGGGCGAAGCTACTCTCGGCTCCTTCCATCGAGCTAAAAAGGCGGCACGGTGCCTCAGATCCACCCCGGAGTCCCTGTTACCACCGCGTTCAGTGTGTCAATGAACCTGAAACTTTGGCAATCGCGCAAGAAATGGCGCGCTCGAAGTAAGCGCAATTGGCTCAGATTGCTCATAACTGCCGCTCATAACTGCCGAGGCTCTCGGTTGACCCAGTGGAAATTGAGAGTTGGAACGTTCGTAGCTGGGGGAGTATACTCAGGTCCCCTATGACCCATGGCATAAAACACAGTGCCTATTCAAGTTGGCAGTGTTCGGTTTCCAGTGGAGGGTCACCATCCTTTGAATATCTCGGGAACCTCCTGGCACCTCGTCGTCCGGGGTAAAGTGGCAATCGCTTTGGGACCTCGCCCCACTCAGGCTTGGAGACAAGGTGGCATTGAGTACACTTCCAGATCCCGTCAGCAACGGACGCTGCTGCTAAGGATTCCGCGACAGGGCATGACAAATGGAGTCTCCATCGTGAGTGTCTATGCACCACAAAGTGGGGTTCCTGGTCGGGTCAAGCGGAATTTTTGGGAGCAACTTTCCACCACCTTACGCGCTACCAAAAGCGATGATATCGCGGTCGTAGGGGGAGATTTCACAACTCGCACTATAGCCCACAGAGGCGTGACCTGTTAGATTGGTGCAGCCGCCATGATCTCCTGGTGGCTGCTACGTTCTTTCAACAACCCATCCGCAAACGATATACTTGGTGGCATCTGGCCCGCCGTACTGGCCACGGTCTCGATCATTTTCTGGTTAACGGGCACTCACATAGGTTCGTGGTATACGCATGAACCGTACAATGCAGGAGAACCTCTAGGACGACCCCGCCAGTCCGGTCAACATGACCCTTCTGGAGCGCTCTATTGGGATGACTTTACGGATCATCTTCCCATTGAAATTTCGTAACCAGGATACCATGCACCCTCGGCCACAAGTCGAATGCCTAGCCGTCCCGGCAACTTCGTATTCGATGGCATAACGCTCGCATTTCAGCGCGAGAAAATACTCGTGGCCCCCGCACCGAGACTGGCATGAAAAGGTCCATCCGGGCAAAACTGAAGGCTCGCGCATTCCGGGCACACCCCGACAACCGACTGACGTCAGGTTCATAAGGGTGAGCAAGCTTGGGTTCGTCGCGTTGGCGGCATTTTAGAGGAACAGGGGAGCCAACGCCGTGACACGACCCAGCGCACTTCCCGAGCTTCCGTCAAGCTTCATCAACTCGCTATATAGGGCCTGCAAGTTCAGCGTCCGATCGCAGCAACGGAAAATGCCCTTTTCATCCCTTTTCCATCCGGATCAAGGTCATGGAAAGTGTACAGTGTACATCAGTGTACTTATGCCCTCGTTGACATGCTCCTGTCGATATCTCGGGTCTGGAATCCGCGAACATCTTACGATGCTCCAACGGGTCGCATTTCGCTGTGCTTCCAGGTAAACCGGACCTGGTTACACCAACACCACGTAAACAGTATGCAACTGTGCGTCCTACCCAAGTGGGAGCCCATCAAATTTACCTTTGCGCGACAATCACTGTTCTGGCCCAAACAAGCCTTGCGATGGATGGGTCTTTTTCCTTTGCTTGTTTTAGTGTGCCTTGGATTGAACCGAAGCCCTTTTCCAAGTCGTAGTAGGCATTGCTTATGACCTGTTCTTTTGTTAATCTTCTTGCCATAGTTAGTGTATTTTGAAGGTTTTCTTCGCAAAGAAAGAACGTTTACAAAAGCAAGAGAATAAGAACGACAAAATTTGACTGTGGTCGTGTAATGACCGAAGAGAAGGCCTTGAGAGATTGAGGAACTTGGCAAAGGGAAGAAAGGCACACGAAGGGCTACGCGAGATAGATAGATAGATAGATAGATAGATCGATAGATAGATAGATAGAGTGACAAAAGAAATGGAAGACGAGGAAGGAAAAAGCGACTGAATAAATGACTGGAATAAGCGAAGAAGAAATGAAAAGCGATAGATCCGATGACTTCGTCGTATCCAACCAACTGATATTACAAAAGCACAAGGACTTTGAACAATTCGCAAGCCGTGGTAAAACCAACCACGACTTTACGAAAGATTTGTGAAAACATCGTTTACAAAAGCATTGCGAAAAGAAACGGTGACAGTGAAAGGAAAAACAATCGAGGAGGGATGAGAGCACTACAAAACAATTACTAGTCAGTGATAGGTCATTAGGTTCAACAGGGTAATCTAGACAAAGACACCATAATCCTAGTCTTCTACAACGTCAAAACGATTGTCAGCGAATGGTGGGATGGAATAGGGGAGTGGCAGCTTCCTTCAATAAGAATATAAACATTAGAGATTCCAAATGTTTTCAAAGAATATTATATCTCCAGAGCCGCGCGCGGAGAAATCAAGATATTCTCCGGACAGAAGTAGCAGTCACTTGCAGCCACTTGGCAGCCACTTGTCAGTCAAGCAAGCGGCTGCAAAATTGAAAATCAAAACGCGCCTCCTGCAAGCTCAATGAAGCATTAAGAATATAACGCGCCTCTGTGTCCAAATAGTGCACATCATTGAGATTGCCTGAGGCTAAGTTTGTTTGCTGAGTCTGCAACTTTCATGCGCGACACGCTGAGTCCGCTACTTCCATCAGTACCCCCAAATACCCACATCTTCTGATTGGCATCCATCACTGCCGAGTGGTCCTCCCGGGCAGAAGGGCTAGAGCCGCTTGTGGACGGAGTTGTCCAAGTTGGTGTAGTTGCCTGCCAACAATTTAAAAATAGATGCGCCGTTTCCGTTTCCGGATTCTGAAGATAAGGGAATCGAGCCACTCTGATGAAGTTCGAAAAGCAAATCAATACAAGAGCGCCCAGTCTGCGCAGCGCGCTGGCGCAAACTGACAGGATTTTGTTGGGCACGCCCCCAAACCCCCCGCAAAGAGTGATGCGCCAAGGCAGGGGGTTTGCAGAAAACACTCCGCGTGGGCCATTCAGAAGATTGGCGGTATGAGCAACGGATATGCAAAAGAGAAAACAACAGAATTTTTGCTCGTTTTCACGCGCACGAACTGCAGGAAAAAGGGTCCCTGCTGGGTTCCCACCTACCCAAATACCAAGAAAATGGTTGCCAAAATTTTCTCGTCGCAGTCAATTCCACTTTCCAAAGGGCACAGGACTCCGGTCTCATATTGCTACATGTAACTGGCCCAGCAACTGATCAGTTGGTGTTTTTCCTTTAAAAACAGCACCTCTCGCAGCCAAACAACACGTCAAGCCCAAAGCCGAAACCACAACGGTTG